CGACTTTAAAGTAGTCTTCCTCTCTTTCTCTCCCTCCCTCCCTCCCTCCCTCCCTCTCTTTCTCTCCCCGGGATCCCTCCCACAACATGCGACATTTCAGCTCTTTATTTGTACGTCTCGAGAAATTATAGCCGCCCATAAATCAATTCATAATTTATAGCAATAACTTTTGTGGTATTTTTCTCGTTTATTTTCTGATTTTCGAGTTGAATTTATGGATATAGGGTGAGCATGTGACCAAAATTCATTTAGGGTCTCACAAAGATGGTTCATGCTCTTAGATTCAAGTTTTTAGAGGATCAATTGTTACATGTTTTTAGATAACTATCTAATGTTTAGAACTATTTGCAAAGAGCTTTAAGTAAAGCTTTTGTGATGAATAGAAGAGGAATTTGGTAATGATGATCTCTCAGACATGTGCTCTCTCTCACTACAGACTGGAAACTTTTCTACTCTTTCTATTTTTTTGACTTTTGCAAATATGGAATGACAATATCAAAATTAGAATGACAAGTTTCTAACGACTTTTTTTGATAATCTACCAACCAGTTCTTGACTAATGACTATGGTACAAATTATTTGATCCAGATTCTAGGCAGATTAATACATAAATATAGCATCCTGTGGATAAGTAACTAACTTTCAGAATGTTTTTGAATAAGTCTAAATTGAACCATTTGTAGTGACGTGAAATATTTTCCTAGATTAAAGAACTAAGTGACTTCACTACTCTCTCTCTCTCTCCCCCCACCCATACAATTTTTAGTTTACATTTTCTGACAGGTAATCGCACTGAGTCGTTGACTTTGAATCAAGCTTACATAGAATCGGGTAAAATATAAGGTAGCTTATTTCTTTTAGACCGCTCAGTATGTAAAATTAGTGGTTTTTGTATAGAAATATAAATTATATATTTTTATTAGATAAAAAATAAAATTTGTTTCTTTGTCAAATGATTTCTAAAGCAGAGGTTTTCTAGCCATTATTCTTCACCATTCCGAATAACGAGTTTTGGGACATTTTCAGTGCGTCTCTCTCTCTCTCTCCCCTTAGTTGTGTTCTGCCTAAATGCCATAGGAACTCCTAAAATATAAGTCCTAGTAGTCAAAAACATTTGACACCGAATTTCTTGATACTCGAGCATAACATACGCAGAATATTGTGAAGACGCAGTACCATGGTTCACCTAGGTTTTCATAAAGGGACGCAGCAAGCATTTTGTTTGATCTACATTCTTGGTAGGTCAACATGACGTATAGTAGCTTGTTTAATAATTAATCTAAACTTTTATCTTAATTGTTTAATGCATTATCTCCCTCTCTCTCTCTCTCTCTATCGTCCGTCTCTTGGTTACAACAGGAGATGGGTTTCCCCGTGTAAAAACTGAAAACTCGAGTGTACCCTCGTCATTTATGGCGAATCTGTCTTCCTTTCTTCTGTTGAAATTCCGTCAATGGAGCATCATATCATGCTCTGCCTCTGACTCCAACTTTCCACACGTCGCAGCGTTCCGGCGCACTCTCTTCCCAGTGACAAGGATTAAAAGGGCTATGAAGGCCAACCCGAATGTAAAGGTTCGTCACCATACAAAAAAATTGAGTCTCTCTATTTGACACCAATCTTGATTCATATATTGTAAACATATTCTCATTTTATTTGGCGGATTTCCGAAAAGACCTGCGTCTCATAACCGATCTACAAACAGATGATAGGTGCTGACTCACCGCTGGTCCTCTCCAAAGCCATAGAGCTGTTTATCATGGAGATGACCCTGAGAAGCTGGTTCAACGCCGAGGAGAGCAACAGACGGGTCCTTCTGAGCATGGATATAGCCAGCAATGTGCTACAAGCAAGAGCGTACAATTTTCTCATGGGAAGAATACCTTGGGATCAAATAATGGTACAGTCTCTTATGTATTTATAAACTTTTACCTTTTCGTAACTTATTTGTTAGTTTCCGCCTACGTGCGATTCAAGAGTTTCATTCCATTGAGATTCCCACATTACTCGATAAATACTCCCAAAAGAGACTGTAAATCCAAGCCCTAGAAAAGAAAGGGCAACAGTATCCTGAGTAGAAAAGGAAAAAATAGCTTTCATAAGTAGGCAATTTGCATGGAAAGCGTGACTTGCATGTCGCAGTGCGAACCACCGAATTTGTATGAATTAAAACTGTCCTTAACCACCCTATAGACGGATGTTACCCATTAGCCATACAAATCTATGATTGATTTTGGTTTCTTAATCATTTATAGCCAGATTGAAGCACGCATTTTTCTCTTTCCCTGTCTTCCTTGGGTTACCCTAACAATTGCTCTTAAGGTCTTGTTGGAACATAAGCAAATCAAGGATGACTACATAGTTATAGCTATTTAGGATAGGAATAATATACAATCGTTCTGATGCTTGCATTCATTTTTGCTTTCCTCATAGAAATGAACGTCTCTAAGAAAATATTTTCAAATTACTTTCATTTCTTGATTGGGTTTTATCGAAAGAGCAAGATGTCCCTCATAGTCAACCCTTGTATATCGAAACTTTCAGAATGAGATGGCCGCAGATGTTGTTAGAAGAACTTGGCTACACATCTAGTGATCCTCTAATGGTATGCTTTCTTGTTCACTACTCATATGCCTCTTGGATAGTTATTTTATTTAAGCACCCCATTGGTAGTTCACTACTCATCAGTCTACTTACATATATCAATATTTCATATAACCTAAGGCTGAAAAGGAGATATTGTTTTATTGGAACACAAGCAAATCAAGTTTCCAGAAAAAATATATATAATTTTTTTTCCTTCTGTGTTTCTTTTCAAATGAGCTACTATTTCTAAACAAGGTCGTCCAAATTAATTTTGTTTTTCTATAATTAATTCCTCGGGAAAATATCTACTTAAAATTACTTATATTCTAGAAAAAGATAATTACAATATTTTGTGATGGTACATAAACTAATGTTCTTCCTAAAGTTGAAGCCCAATGTGTTTGGGTATTTTTCAACCCTTTATTGCATGTCAATTTAACTATAGGTAATAAGAAAATGATCAATATTTCTCTAATTACATCTTGTTTGTGCTATAACTTTTAATATTACTCATCCGAAACATCGTATCTCGTCAAGATAGAACTAATGAAATGCAATTTATTACCAGAAATAACCACAAACTGAACAAGGATCTCACAAAGTCAGCTGCAATTTTTTTTGGCAGTTGTATGAACTAAAAGACCATGAAGAACAAAATTGTATTGAGTCTCCTTTTCATAAAATTAAAATAAATTGTTGGACCTTTTCTGAAGAATCTATCATTTCTATGTTGAACAAGACAAATCCTAGTAAATCAATTGACTAAAACATAGCCATGGTTTCAATATCAAGGACATCTAGTGAGATATCAGCGTATCTTTGGTCCATCGATTTTGACGCTTACCCACCAAAACTTTATTTTTACGGTGACCTTCTTGGGGTGGGGGAGACATGAGGAGAGGGAGCATTTCTCATTAGCTTTGTAAGTAAGAGAGTCTGAATTCTTGTAGGAAAAGGCGAGGTGTTCGACATGGGTTATGTCCTATACTTGCTACGCTTTCTCCTCCAGAAGCTTCTACATTACCGATAATATTCTGCAGAGGCCAACTGTGAATAATATTTCCCTGAATATGCCTGGTTTATCTGAAGGTCTTCTTCTACCGAGCAACAAATGGGTTAACCGTTTAGGTGTTACCAAGGCCATGTTATTTTATACATTATCAATGAACATCAGTATAAATGATAGCAAAAGAAAGAACACGTCTTCATAGCTACTGAAACTATTGCTTTTTCATTTGATCATATCTATTTCTTAAATCTTCAGGGGGTGGTAGCACAATGCGTTCATGAGAGAGAGAGAGAGATGGCCGACGTATTGTTCTTGTTCCTCGGGAACGCAAACAAGGAGAGAGTGTATGTGGCGGGGAACAGTCTCCAATTGAGCCATCTTCCGCCACAACGTTCAATCAAGAACAATTAATTGTGGCGGTTCTGGTCTTTTCGATGAAATTCGTTGCCCAGACAGCCTCATTAGTTGTTTTAAAACTTTTGTTTTGGTACAGGGGGCGGATAGAGAGAGAATGAGAGAGAGATAGATAGCTAGATAGATAGATGGATGGATGGACAGCTAGAAAGAGAGAGAGAGAGAGGGAGGAGGAGAGAGAGAGGGAGGGAGAGAGCGAGAGAGAGAGAGAGAGAGGGAAGGGAGAGGGAGGACGGGAGAGAGACAGAGGAAGGAAAGGAGGGAGAGAGAGAGAGAGAGATAGACAGAGCGGGGAAAGGGGAGAGAGAGAGTGAGGGAGAGAGAGAGAGAGAGCAAGGGAGGGAGGGAGAGAGAAGGGAGGGAGGGGGGAGAGAGAGAGAGAGGAGAGAGAGGGAGGGAGGGAGGGAGGGAGGGGGAGAGAGAGAGAGGAGAGAGAGAGAGGGAGGGAGGGAGGGAGGGAGAGAAAGAGAGACAGACAGAGACAGACAGACAGACAGACAGACAGACAGAGAAGGGGGAGGCGTGTCCGCTGGCGGCAACCTTATCTTCACTCTCCACCCATTGCTTCTGAACCCTCCGCACTCTCCGTGGAGGGAGTTTAATATGGCCATGAATATTGTCATGGTAGTGGCCAGGCCATACTGCCCGCGTCTAATCTAAGCATTACTCCACTAAATTCACGACGAAAGATAAAGGGAAAGCAGAATTTTTCGTGCTTCTTGATTGATTGATGTAGGAGACGGCCAACCAACTGTCGTAATAACAGAAAGCCGGGCTTTGTTGATTTCCGTAAAGAAGCCTTCCAAGGAATTTGGGTCCTTGACTGGAAATATCTCAGCCATTCATTTATTGATTATTCCTTCGATAAACAACCTCAAAAGAATCTAAAAAAGCTCTCTCTCCCTCTCCCTCTCCCTCTCCCTCTCCCTCTCTGTCCCCCTCCATGTGCTTCAGCCGGAGCTGCTTTGCAGCCCCGACCCACAAACCCTCTCTAGAATCTACATGCTGGGGCATAGAAATGGGGGATGTGGGCAAATACAATGGAGAAAGGGGCCACTCTTATGGGCTCTGAAGCGTTGATCCTGATAGGCCCCAAGGCCGGGATCCTCCACTCCGAGTCAACGGCAAGGCGCCACCCATTCAGCAGCAGGCTCCGGCTGTGCAGGTCGTCGTCCCCGGCTGTGAGATGGTACTCCTCCCTCGTGAACTCGTAACTCTTCCGTCCCCGCAGTGGCCGCGCCGCCCGGCTAGGCCTCATCCTATGGAGCCCCACAGCATGCCTCGCCACCCTGGCATAGTCTGGGTCGGTCGTGGGGGCCACTCGGACGGTGTTGTTGCCATCGAGGTTGATCAATAGCAACGTAATCCCCTGCTGATGAAACCAACGTCTCAGGATCCATAAACCCTCCATAGAAACTTAGGACAAACTCCAGAGACGAATATATATACACATGTTCGTGGTTATCACTTACGGATTGTCTTGAACAGTGGGCGTAAGCTCGAATCTTGCTTGTCCCGGTGAAGTTTGTCCTGAGAGCAGTCCTCCCCATCAATCTGTGCCATAGGAGGGCGCTGCAGGAAGAGAGAGATAGCGAGAGAGAGAGAGAGAGAGAGAGAAAAGATGACAAATGTATGAATATATGTTTGATCTAGCTCTAAGCCTGGGGAAGCCCATCTTCTAAAATAACAGCAAGCATGCATCATTTCTACACGAGAAGAATTATGAAAGGGAAGAAAATCCGACAAATCCTTGAGAGTAAATAGGGGATCCCAAATAGCAGAAACCTGTAGTAATCCGGGTTTGGCTCGTGAGTGTCCGTGTCGAGCAAGCCGTAGTTTCCTCCAACCAATGTCTGTCGGCAGTAGGTCTTCGTGTCATAGGCAGCCGCCATGCCGAGCTGGTCCAAGTACCTTCCCAAAATTGGTAACTTTGGTCAACTAGAATCGTCTACGCCAGCACGAAAATCTCGAAGCCTTCTGGAGCTGGGCCCCTGGACTCACCAGAAGCTGAATACAAAGGCATTGGTGACGAGATTGTGGCCGCTGTTCCACGCCCCCCCAGCCTCACCCACCCAGGCGGTGGCGGCGGAGCCGCCACCCCTCAGAATTCCCCGGAGTCTGCTGAATGTGGCAGCTTCCTTTTCGAGATAGGAGGGGTCAAGGATCTTGCTGACCAAGTGCTCGTCGACACCTGCGAATCATCGGGAGTGGAAACCATGAGAAAAAGAGGTGAGTCGGTGGAATATTTGGCCACCCCAAGAGTTGTCGGATCGACGACGATGATCGAATGGCATACCCGGGCCGAGATTGTAAATATGGTGGGTGATCACATCCATCAGATTGGGCCTTGTGCGGACGACAATCTCCTCGAACCACTCAGGTTCGAAGAACCCCCCAGGGGCAATTACCAGTGGCTTCTCCAGAGAGGGAGAGGCCCCATAGACCTCATTCAAAAGCCGCTTCAGGGAGACAACGTCGGCAGAATACTGGCCGGCCCCAACCCGAGTTCCAACTCCGCTCCCACTCAGTTCATTTCCTTCAAAGAGAGGATGAACAATATTCAACATTTATGATCTTAATCAAATAAGAATAAATATAAAAAGGGATGGTTTCTGTTTCTTTTCAGTCAAGATAATCCATGGGATTACATCGAGCGCACACTGTATCCGAGAGGAAGGAAGAACTGTCTCGAGGAGAGTGGAGAGGAACAAAAACAGAAATTGATTAGCTCGTTTCCTTATAAGAGGAGATCGAGCTGGTTGATCGGCCATCAATAATGCCCACGATTTATTATCTTCACCAAAAAAAAAAAAGACTAAAAAGGGTGCTTATCGAATATGAGTTGGGCTCCTAGGTGGCTTTTTTGGTGCCAAACCGAAGGAAGAGCTAAAAGAAAGTTGGCTTGGGGCGAGGCCACCCGGCCTCAAATAGGACGGGGGCTTTGCTCTGGATCCCGCCTGCTTGCAGAAATGAATGGATCAGAAGGGGTGGCTGGGTTATATTTCCTAATTTATATCGAATGCACACCATCTGACAGAGGAAAGAAGAACACCCTGAGAATATGAAGACAAAAGAAAAGAGATTCGGCTTTGACCAATTGATTGCTTCAGAAGAGAAGATCGAGTCGAATGATCGGTCATGAGCAATACCCAAAACTTATAATCTTAAAAAAGGTAAAAGAAAGGATCAGAAGGTATGATTATTGCCACTCTTCAGAAGAACAGTTTGACGACGTGAAGAACCAAATACATATATAGAGAGAGAGGGAGAGATTTATATGCATACATATATCGACACATAAATGTACGGTTTTGATGAGAGCCTCCTGATCACAATTAACTGACATCAATCGTGAACTAGATCATGATTTCCTTCTCGAAAACAGCAGGACCAGAAACCAGACGGTAAAAATTCGTTTTACGGCTCGCCAAAACTAGAGCTTTTAAAACTCCAAGAGGCGCAGCAAAACAAAGCTTCAGAAATAGAGGGGAAATCTCACCGAGCTCCCAGCCAGACACATCATAACCCTTGCTGACAGTATACCGAATGAGGGAAGCTGCATTCGAGGAACTCCAAGGACCCCCCAATGAGCCATCCGACATCGGGACGCGCCCATTGAGCGCATTCAACCCGAACACCACGACTGCGCTGAAGAGTTTAACAAGCACAAGTTAATGAAAAAATAATAATTTGAAATTTAAAAATATATAATTCTGGTGATGATTCGTCGCATACTTGGTTTCTCTGAAGAAATCGTGGAGCTCATCCCATCTGGACATGGGCAGGCAGCCCTGGGAGAAGCCGAACAGCTCGGAGCTGTTCTTCGTGAAGGGTTTGCACGGCTGGTCCAGGTCACCGGCTTCGTACACCACCTTGTCTTGGAGGGATCCACCCAGCCGGAGCTTCAGAGGAGAGAATGCTGCAGAGGAAGGGCCAATGGACAGCACTTTTAGTGGGGGGTGGAGTCTGAGAGAATATGAGAGATTGGCGAGGAACGGGAGGTACCTTTGACAGCGTTCAGGAGCATCGGGCTGGAGAGATTCTGCGGAATGAAGAGATCCACGCGTTAAATGTGGGGGAGTTTCGATGCTTTCGGTAGAATTTTTGTAGGTTAATCTCTATGTTATGATATGATATCATGCGAGTCTTTTTCCCCATTTAGAAAAGTATTGGAGCATCCAGTGGGTCGTCCCTGAGAGATCTCAACCGGACGACAGAAATCCTAACGCATGGTTGCTGAAACAGCAGGAAGCAATGAGAAGAGGGAGGACAAGGGAGGAGAGAGGAGATCCTGCCAATTAATTGCAGTCATTGGTGATTTCGGACAGTCTACTGAGTTTGATCAAATGGAGAGAAACCCTTGAGAATTGGATTCCACTTGTCTCTGAGAGTCGAGTTCCACATCTCCAGGAGTTCCAGAAAGCAATGCTAATAACAGTCTGGATTTCCCGACCAGCACAGAGGCAGAGGTTCATCCGAATGGATTCGAGAAGGAGGAGGAGGAGGAGGAGGGACGATACCAGATTCAGCAAGGAGGCGCGGCCCCAGCTGCACCAGCCGTAGTCGCACTTCTCCGGAGGCCACCAGTCCAGTGTGGCGCAGACGAAGTCGTCGTCCGTGGTGCCGATGGCATACCTCCCGTCGACGAACGCGGTGCCCTCGATAACGCCTCCGGCCGGCGAGTACGCATGGCAGCAGGATGCGAGGAGCAGCAGCCAGGCGCCAAGGGCCGCCGACTTCCCCAAGAGGATACCCATCATCCCCATTGGAAGAATGGAGGAGGGGCGGAAGACGGGGGGTTGAGAGGTGGGACGTCGGGGTTTTGTAATGGACTGCCACAAGTTCGAAGTAGGAGGGGACTCCCGAAGAAGCAGAGGATGTTACGGAAATACGCCAATCTGTAAATGGTAATGCTGGGTACGGTGGGCTCCGACCTTGGCTGAGGAGAGAGAGAGAGAGAGCGGAGAGAGGAGAGAGGAGGGGGGAGTTGGAGAGGGTGGCGACGCCGTCGCACTCTGGGTTTCCTCTGTCTCTCTCGCTACTTATCAAAGGTGGTGGAGCAGCGATGGCGTAGAGTGAAAGGGAATATGATTTCTGCTGGTGGGGGCAGGTCGCTGCACCCGTCTCTTTCTCTTGGCCCCCCACGCCCACCTTCCGAAGCGTCGCCGCTCACCTCTCTCTCTCTCTCTACATTGTGTAGTTTATTAGGAACAGGTCTGCCCCGCCCCGCAGAACATACTAGCTTCCACCGTCAACGCCAGACTCCATTAATTTTTCCGACATCTCCGTGCCCTTCATCGGGAGTGGGAAGCATGTGACTGCGAGCAGAGAGAGAGAGAGTTGGGATGAATCTTCGCTACACGTGCGTGGGCCCATCAAGGGACCGGGCCCAACTCTCTCTCTCTCTCTCTCTCTCTCTCCCTAGATTACCAAAGTTGGGTCTTTTGCAAATATACCCTTACTAATATAATACTACACGTATCGACACCAGTTTGGTGTTATCTCACTCGACACTGGCCCGCAGATTATTGTTTCATTAATGCATATCTCAATTCAGACTACAAAACTTTTATTCCTGAAAAACTTTATTTATTCAAATAAATAGAATAACTAATGCCTAAGTTGTTGGTCAGTACAAGACGTACTTCGTCGACTTAAATTCCTTCACCTAGTCTGTATGATTACTTAATCATGTAAATATAATTAAAAATATGTAAGTTTTTGTTCATATCCTAAAAGCCCTGCTAGGTCAACCCAAATGCTCATCACCTAGTCTATCTTTCACTCTCTTGGCCTACCTCCTATAGACAAGCAGTCACAGCAAGTAAAAGAACCTTGATATGAGACCAAGATCCATTAATTGGCATGGGCCCTGCCCTCTCCATTATTGCGAAGGGGAAGCTACTGAAGGTCGTGAGTGATTTCATCTCTCATGATATCACCTTGGATACTGAGAAAATTGGGATTCACTAATTCAAACTAGTCTATGAGCATAGGTATGCAGTAGATAGGACGAAGGAGATCTGTTGCGGTCAACTAAAAATCCATGCAAATAATAAGACAAATCCTGTTGGTCGTGCCCATGTGGGTAGCCCCACTTGATGCCCACGATGACCTCCTTCAAGGCATGGTAGTGCATGGCGCAAGACTCCCTTGCTTGCCTAGTAATGTCTCACTGGTTAAGAATGGAGGGGAGGAGTGGATCCATTCTTGTACAACTGGCCCCTCACAAATGGAGTAGATGGCACTTGATCCATCCATCACCTTTAGTTCTCATCATCAAAACTAAAAAGGAGAAGACTTTAGATAAGAATTCACCCCCGATCTAGGGTTTCTTCAAGTGGGATCGTTGAGTAGAGATCCTTGAGAAAGATCAAGGGTACGAAATTCCTTGCTGAACATATATATATATATATATATATATATATATCTAGAGAGAGAGAGAGAGAGAGAGGCAGATTTTTTCTAGGAAATAGGGAATGATTCCCTGGAAAGGTTTATATTTTCTAAAGATAAGAGAAAGAGGGAGTCTGTTAGATGTCCTTTTGCTTCTTTTCTAAATGTTTCTTGTTTGAGGCCTTTGCACATCCTCTCTTCTTCTTTCTTGTTAGAGGAAGGGTGGTTAGAAGCCCAAATACCATGTGGAGATGGTGGAAGAGTGCAAGCAATAAGTTAGAGGTCCTTTTCTTTTCATTTGTCAAACTGATTGAGAAATAATCAAAACTAATAACTTCATAGGCAAAGCCCTAGCCCTTGCATCAATTTCACTCCATGCTCTGACCAAACATCTTGAAAGTGTGGCATCTATGTTCAGTGGAATGAGCCATATGCAAGGACGATCCCAAAGTCATTCAAGGGCACTATTGCATTTTTTTTTGTCAAAACAAATTATTTATACTATGGATTTTAAGGTGGGCTTGACAAATGAAAGTTTTTAAATTAGTCAAACTTAAATTAATAAAACCTAGATAAGTATGCTTCAATATATATGTTATTAGTTCCAAGGTTGAACTTGCAAATTATGCCATACCTTTCATAGTGGGTCCAACATTTTGAAACAAACAAAATGAGTTTAAGATGCAGTCATGGGCATGCCCCTCAATAGGACAAAGAAACATGATTAACCACATGCTCCCTTCACCACCTTTCCACATATAGCTTCACGTGTTGTTATGGCTCATTGTAATGTCCCTCACAATCACCTCTTGTCACTCCTCCCTTGCCAAACAACTTGTTCTTATGTAAGAGGGGAGGATCGGAGCGTGTGCACATTGCTTTCAAACTTTTCTCTCACAAATGGTGTAAAATGTTACATGAAACATGACCTATATCTATTACCAAAAGACATAATAATATAATAATAAGAGAGAAATTTTCTAGGACATAAAGCTTGCAGTGATGGGTTCTGAAAATGGAGTTTTAACATGCCATTTATTATTATTATTATTATTATTATTATTATTATTATTATTATTATTATTATTATTATTATTATTATTATTATTATTTAGGTACATTGGCCTGGTTTAGAGCGTGTGCCTTGTAGCACTTTGGTACAGAGCTGGTGCCTCACGGCACTTGGTTTGGAGCGAGTGTCTCGTGGCACTTTGGTTCAGAGTTGGTGCCTCTGAACCAACTCTGGTGTGGTGCCTCTTGACACATTGGTCAGAATTAGGTGCCTCGTGATACGAGCTAGTGTGGTGTCTTGTGATATGTTTTTTCAGCATGCGACTCTTAGTATGTTGGTGAAGAAGTGCCTCATGAGACGTCATTCGAAATTTAGTGTCCCATGATACTCAAAGAATGAGCTGGGCAGGTCAACAATGGGAGGAGTATTTTTCTTGATAGTAGGTCATATCAAGCTGAAGGGATACTTTTTTTGTAGATACATCAGGGAATAGTATTGATGAGAGGGGTATACTAATAAATATTTTATTTTTTTCTACACGTGCCAAGTGGAGCAAGTTAAAAATAAGAAAAGTTGTTGGGTGGGTCAATGTGAAAAAGGTTTTTCTTAGGAATAATATTAATAACCGAAGGGGATACATCTAATAATAGTATTATTGGGAGGGGTACATCGGTAAGAGGTCACCCATCCTGCCACTACTCAAGCCCAAGAATGCTTAACTACATGATGACTCACCCACTAGTGAAGGCCTTTCAACATGTCATTTATTTATTATCTCATTTGAAAAGTTTAGGGTTTACAAGGAAAAAACAAAATGCATTGAATTGCAAATTGCTCTTTTTTGGTTTCTAAAACTTTGACTCTTTCAGCCCTAGCTGCCCCCTTGCTTTGCATTTCATGAATGAGAGTCTTGGAGTGGTTAGCTGTCAAAAACATTTTTGAGATGGCGTAGAAGTGCAAGCAAGCAAGAAAGAAACCCAATTGTTATTCATACCAACAAGTATTAGCTCAAAGGTTTAGTTCTAAGTACAAGGGTTTAGGTGAGAATTAGACCAAAGGCTGGTTTGAATATTGACCTTTCAGAATGTCAAATGAATTTCATGTGATCAATTTGATGAATTATTAAATTCATGAAATGTACCCACATTTATTTTTATAAAAATATAAATCTCAAAACGAAATAACTTTCCTTTAAAAAATATAGTATTGTAGAAATTGATCATAAAGGACACTGAATCAAAGGGAAGAGAACACATACACAAGGCCAAGTATTTGTGATTGAACCAACTTCAATCTAAGCTAGAGTTAAATGATGTGTGTGTGTGTGTGTGTGTGTGTGAGAGAGAGAGAGAGAGAGAGAGAGAGAGAGAGAGGGGTTAGGGGCATGAATCCCCAAATACTTCCCCCATTGAGATCCCGCCCTCGCGGGGTTGGACGGAGGCCACGGGGCGGGGATAGAAATGAAACCAGCCGAGGGCCATACTTATGGGCCTCTTTTAGAGGCTCCTTGGGCCAAAGGCTTCCCATATGGGCTCATCCCGAAGCGATTCCATAAAGCTCGTCGCCCTACCCATTCTGCGCCTCATTATCCGCTTTCCCCCTTCCATCCAGAGCAGGCCAGAGGCCGGTCCGTCGACGCCGCCATGCTCCGGCGGAAGCCCAGCAAGATCGAGGTGAAGGCGGAGGACCGCGACGAGCTCGAGGACGCCATCCGCGCCCGTCACTGTACCCCCGCTTCCTCCGCCGCCGCCTCAGCCACCTCTTTGCTCCAGTCCCTGCTCGTCAAGAAGCCCACTCTCCAGCCCGCTGAGAAGGCCCAGATCATCGGAATCTCCCAGGGACCCTGAAAACCCTATTTCACGCCGGAGACCGTCTCGATTGGTCGGATTCTCCCGCCGTGGTGGTGGCGGACGCTTCCGGGTAGGACCGCCTTCGCCTTTGGCAGAAGAACCCTAATAAGGCGATCTCCAATGGAAGTGGAGGTGAAGCTGCGTCTCCCCGACGCCGCCGCGCACCAGAGTCTCTCCGATGCACTGTCGCCTTGGCACCTGCGGACGCACCTCCAGGAGAACCTCTTTTTCGACGGCGCCGGAGGTGAGCTCTCCGCCCAGCGCGCCGTCCTCCGCCTCCGCTTCTACGACGGCGACGCCCGCTGCGTCCTCTCCCTCAAGGCGAAGGCCCATATCTCGGCGGGGATCAGCCGAGTAGAGGAGGAGGAGGAAGACGTGGAGCCCCCGGCGCTGGGGCGCGCCTGCGCCGCCGATCCCCGCCGCCTCCTCACCGATCTCCACGCCTCCCACATCATGGGGAGGGTGAAGGACTTCTTCGGCGGCAACCCGGCGGAGCTCGTGCCTCTGGGGGGCTTCAGGAACGTGAGGGCCGTCTACCGCTGGGAGGCGGAGGGGCTAACGTTGGAGCTGGACGAGACCCACTACGACTTCGGCACGAGCTTCGAGCTGGAGTGCGAGACGGCGGAGCCGGAGCGGGCCAAGGCGGTGCTCGAGGCCTTCCTCAGGCGGCACGGCGTGCCCTACGCCTACTCGGAGGCGTCCAAGTTCGCCCTCTTCCGCGCCGGGAAGCTCCTCCCATGACCGCAGGGGCGGTGAGCCTTCCCTTCCTCTGCAAACCCTTCAAGAATAGAAATAACAACAGCAGGACCTCCTGTGCGTTTTCCTCTTATGCTGTCTGAATTCGAAGAACTTTACCTGTGTTTTCTTAGTTTGATCGAGTGCCCAGCAGCTGATCGCATAATCCCTGCGATAAAAAAAGGGGGGCCTTGTTATTTCGCTTATACTTGTGTGGCCATGGGCGGTCCGATTATCGCTCTTTCCCTTCTGAGAAGCTCTAAACGGCGCAGAGGGGAACAGTTGATGAATGCTTGAAGAACTGGGTGAATGCGCAGAGACGCACCTCGAAGGAAGACAGAAGATGGAAAGACCATGCTCTTGCGCATTCTCTCTGCCTGCGTCACCCGCCCCTCTTCTTCATCTTTGAAGGCCCTCTGCCCCTCTAACCCGGTTTAGTGCTGTTCCCCTTCCTCATCATCGTTCTCTTCGTTTTCATATTCATTTTCATCATCATCTTCTTCTTCTTCTTCCTCGCTGCCATTCATCGTCCCTATCACCGCCTTCACCTTTTGCCTCTGGATCAATGTCGTCGTCACCACCATCATCATCATCATCAGATTCATCATACAGAAATCCCTCAGCTCCATTCTCGCATTGATCCCTTTCGGTGATGCTCATCCTCATCCTCATCGCTGTCAGTGATGTGTCGTCGTCATCTTTGATATCTGCAGTTGCCTCGTTCCTGCTTCGTTATATCAAAGCTACTGCAAATCTTCAGAAAAAGTTGCAGATTTCAGATGAACAAGGAAACCAAGTGGGATCATCTCTTCTTTTTTCTTGGGAACGAAAAAGGGCATGGAGCTACCAGTAGGAAGAAGCTGCACAATTTCGGGGTCGGCTGTTTCAATCTCCCCAGACGGTGGCCGCCCCTCCTGCACCTGAGAAATTCATACCATTAAAGGAAACATAGGAGGGAGGAAACAAGGACCACTAGAGAAGCTAGAATCAACTAGACATCAATGAAAGTTGTTTAGAATTCCCTCGGCAGCAGATTTGTCATCTTCATCGACCCGGAAAAAGCAAACACCCAAATGGGAGAGGTGGCAGGACCTCGGCATCAATTACGAGCCAGGTTGGAGCAACGTAGTGAAGCGGCACGATCATGAGGAAGGTCCGCGCCGCACTGGCAGAAGATGCTGAAGTGAATGCGCCGCAGTTGGGATGCAGCAGCTGGTGGTGTACATGCGTGAACACTGGCCATATGTACCGCGGCGCATGGATGATAAGGTTTTTTGCGACCGCGGCCAAGATCTTATTGTCACCGTGACCTCAGACAGGTGGGTGTGGTGGGGGGTGAATCTACTGAATTTTCAGTTGCGGTGATAATAACTATTACATCTGGGGCGCGGTCCACTCACCAGCCATCGGCGAGAACATGGTTTCCAACTCCGGCACCAGGCAATATTTGTATGAGGCCCACTCAAATCTTGACGCTAGCAAAATGAACCTTGCCGCCCCTCCCCTACACCAGGCCCAATGCTTTTGTGTCCATCAGAGTACTGGTACTCGCAGATCTTTGCTCAGCCCATATGAATCAATGGGCCGTGGGCTTGACCCTGCCCATAAACCCATTTCACTAGGCCCGTCTTTGAAGGCCAAAAGCCTAAACCCTTTGTCATTGGCTTTGAGACCCACGTGGGCTTTAATATGAGTAAGAGGTCTTACTTCACACCTACTTTGTCTAACATCAATATAATCAGGAACATTTAATGATTTTATAACTCGTTATTCACTCATAATAGAATTAAGAAGACTCTACATAATCTTCACCTCTAACCTTACTCCGTAGAAAATGACTTCAACATATGATCTTTATCAAATATCATATCAATGTTAAAAATAACCTTCTTCACCTTTGAATTCTAAAGTTGATATCTCTTCACGTTAGTATTATGCTCAAGAAGATACATTTTCTCAACTTTAGATCTAACTTCGATCTCTAATCAGTAAGTGTAAAAATATATCTTAGATATCTAAATATATGTAAATTCGAATAGTCAATAAGATTTTCAGTTCATACCTCTTCAGCAACCTTCCCATCAAGAGTAAAATTTGATGATCTATTTACCAAATAAGCTGTCATACTCACAGCTTCCGCCCAAAACTCTTTAGGAAAGTCAACATTCAACTATAAACACCGTACTCTCTCAACAATTGTATGATTCATTTGCTCAGCAACATCATTCTACTACGGAGTCTTCTTTAGTGTATAATGATGTTGAATATCATGTTTATCATAAAATTGATCAAATTCAAAATTCTTAAATTTTGTACCATTGCCAATCTCCAAGACTTTGATTTTACTCTCCATCTAATTCTCCACCTTTGCACACTAAGTCAACCTTCGTAAATACTTATAATTTGTGATTTAAAAAGATTACTTAAACTTTTCTAAAAAAATCATTAACAAAGGTTAGAAAATAATGAGCTCCACTCATCAACGTCATATTAACTAGACTACACACATCTTAATGAATATAATCCAATACACTATTTGTATCATATTTTGCTACATTGAATGTCACTTTGTACTATTTTTTCATGATATAGTACTTGTAAAATTTTAATTTATAAATTTTCACATTAGGTAACAATCATCGTATATGTAGTTTTTGTATAGATGTCTCACTCACATGACTCAATCGAAAAGTGTCAGAAAAAGTGTCATTAATTATGAAATCATCTAGTGTTGCAACACAAGTTACACCTACAATAGTATTCTCCTGAAATTTATGAATATTCATTTGTTGACGTTTTTCTTTCATCACAATGAGTGATTTCTTGATAATCTTAAGGATTCCATTCTCTCCTTTGAAGTAACATTTATTCATTTCCAATACTCTAAGCAAAATCAAACATCTATTCAAGCTCTCAAATATTTCTATTCTGATACAATACTAAAATATGATGAACATTTTCAAACTCTCAAATCATTATGTCAAACATTCAAACCTTCACTGAAATAATGCCAATTACTTCACAAACTATATTATTTCTTATAAAAATATTTCACATTGCACTCTTGTATGAGTCAAATCAGTCAACATTATGACATAATAAATTTCACCATTTTCTCTATCCTCAACCTTCATAATATTAGTCGAATTAAATTCACTTTTTACTATCTTATCACTCTAATTCTTCAGACAATCTCTTCACAAGTGTCTTTTCTCATGACACTTATGACAAATTTAGTTTTTCAACTAATTTGTGAATGACTTAGATCAATTATTATTGTCTTCTGATGATTTCTTCTCTTTGTACTTTCTATGTTTTCTTTCACCCTTCACATATAAACTTTCATCATGAGTCTTACCAACATTCTTCTTTCGATGATAATACTTCATCAATAAGTTAATAACATCTTTAAAAACAAGTGATGTACTATTATGCAACAAGGTCATAACAAGATGATCATATGAATCAAGAAGAAAAATAAGTAAAATAATAACTTTGTTCTCATTAGAAAAATCTGATTTCATACAAATTAAGTCATTCAATAATTCTTTAAAATAATTAATATGAGATGTTAAATCATCTCCATCTAACATGCGTAATTCAAATAGTTTTTATCTTCAATGTCAATTTATTCATCATCGACTTTGATGCATATTACTTCTCCAACTTTTTTTAGAGTTCATTTGAATTGTATTTATTTATAATGTACTGAAAAGTTCAATCAAACAAACATGTACAAATAAATCTTCCAATCTTATTCTCTATTATCTCTCAATCATCATTATTAATCTTGTCTGACTTTAGTTTATCCAAAGTCTTATATAAATCAATCTACAACAACGCATAATACACACGATACTTCTAAATATTAAAATTAGAAAACTTATCTTACTTTTAGATGTTAGTGTGTACTTTAGATGTCATACTAAATTTAGAAATAATCAAATTAATATTATAATAACAATTGTAGGAATAAATATGTATACACATAATCACCATAATAGTGGAAATTTACTTTTTAGATATCAATGAGAACAAATAAAATAAAAATCACTAAGTTGTCAAGAATTTTGATGAGAACAAGATTTCTACTAGACATCTCTAATCTACGTCTTAACACCTTTTAGATGACTCAGACACTAGAGAGTCAATAATTAACTCTTATCTACTTCTATAAAGACTTCATCTATAATAGAAGAAAGAATAGAGACCAAGAAAAAGAAAGATAATTAATGAAAAGAAAAGATAAATAAAGAGAAATAAATCTCATCAGTCATTTGCCATATCAAAAAAAGGTAAATAAATGTATCTCGATCTATGTGCAGGTGAGCTTACGCATATCCGAGGTAACGGCCCCGAACGGGTCAGCCATGATGGACTAACACCACCAACAAACCGACATTGACGGATCACATCAAGTGCTAGGTTCTATTAGATCCAGTAAAATCAGAACCTAACGACTTGTGAGACGACGGTCAAGAGAGAGGAGTAAGAAATTCACGAAGAACTCTGTTGGAGTTGGAGACTGCCATCTCACATTGGCAACCTTGAGACCTGAGAGGTCTCGGTTTCCTCCTTTATCTATCTTCTTCTGTTTTTCCAGGGTTTTTCCCGAGTGTTTTTCCTTTTTCTTTTCCCTGTTCCAATTTGTATTCGCCCACGATCCCTTGTTCTGGAAACTGTCCTGAATATATAGGGTTTTTTTGAGGAATTAGCGAGTTTATCGACAATTTAGTCGGAGGGTCTTCATCAGTGACCCAACCGATCAGCCACCGATCAGCCACCGATCAGCACACCTCATAGAAGGCGCAGCAACCGGCGGCGGAGCTGTCTTCCAGGCCAAACCTGTGTGCCACGGTGGAGAATGGCACCGCGTGGGCGAGGTGGAAGAGGGCGGTACCGGGGAACAAGGAGGAATATGAGGAGCGATGGCCTGAGAGTCCGGAGGAGGAGGTAGAAACAGGGGGGCTCATGCGGAATGCCTCGACCCACCTCGTGTCGGGGTCGTTAGAGGCCGCAGAAGCGAGGAAGCGAACCAGTCAGCGAAATTCTCGTCTTGCCGCCGCCGCTGCTGCTGCTGCTCGTCCTCCTCGCAGTCCCGCTTCCTCACAGGCGGGAGTTCGCGTTGCTGGCGGCGGCTCCGCTCTTGGGCAGCGGCAGAGTGCCGCTGAATTCCTCTCCCACGCGCAGCTGCCACTTCCCAACCGACAGCTCTGGAGTGAGCCGTCACCGTAAACGAAGTGCAGGACCTTTTGAAGTAAAGTATGCCCAAGCCCATATTCAAAGTAGCAGCTGTTGTCTTTATATTATTTGTAGAAGATGATGAGTTTACATTTTTTCGGAAGGTAATTAGTTGTCTTGAAAAAGAGAAATGGATGTAAGTGATGTTTGAAGAACCAACATTTTTAGATAAAAACCACACTTAGGAATTAATGAATCTTCATGTAAAGAAGTAAGCTATTTGGTGTAAATAAGTGTACAAGAAAAAGTCATGGATGATTGATGATGATCAATCAAAATATAAGATGATGCTTATTGCAAAAGGTTTTACATAAAAATAGAAAATTAATTATACGAAGATTTTTGTCATTTGTTGTCAAGTACAAGTCTATTCGTTTGGTGTTAACTATTATTACACATGAAGATATAGAGCTTGAGCAACTAAATGTAAAGACGACATTCCCCCATGAATATTTAGAGAAAACTATTTATCTGCAGCAACCGGAGGGTTTCATTACGTAGGAGTCAGAATATCTTTTCTGTCAACTAAAGAAGTCCCTTAACAGGTTAAAGCATGCATCGAGGTAGTGGTATAATAAGTTTGACTTTTACATGTTGAAGATTGACTATACAAGATGTAATTTTGATTGTTATGCATATATGATGACTTGTGATGATGGTTCTCTAATTATTTTGGTACTCTATGTTGATGATATATTCATTGTTTTAAAAAATTGATATGAGATCGCTAAATTGAAAATACTATTAAGTAGAAATTTAATATGAAAAATTTCCATGTGGCAAAGAAGATTCTTGATATGAAAAATCTATATAGACCAAGAGTTAAGTCAACTATAATTAACTTAGAAGAGTTATCTCTCGAAGGTGGTGTATATATTTGATATGAGTAATGTTAAAATAGTGAGCACTCCTCTAATTAATCATTTCAAATTATCTACTACTCAATGTCTGACATCTGAAGAAGATATTATTTAGATGAAACAAATTTCTTATGTTAGTGTAGTTGGCTCTCTCATGTATGTTATGGTCTGTATATGACTAGATATTGCTCATGTAGTTAGACTTGTTAGTAGGTTTATGAGCAATCTAAGAAAGAAATATTAGAACATAATAAAGTAGATTATTTAATATCTAAAATATTTTTTAGATTTTGAAATCTATTTTGACCAGTAAAATTATCTTTTTACTATTGACTTTGTTGATACAGATTTTATCAAGAATTTAAATCATTGAAGATTTATGATAGAATATGTTTTCACCATAGTTGATAGACTTGTGAGTTAAAAATCTACACTTCAGATTATTGTCGCATTATCTACGATTGAGATTGAGTACATGATAACTATTGAAGCAACTAAGGAGGCTTTATAGTTGAAGAGATTGTTGAGCGAACTTAGGATCCAACATAGTGAAATTTCTCTTCATTGTGACAGTTAGAATGCTATTTGTTTGACAAAGAATCAAGACTATTATACACAATCGAAATATATTAATATACAGTGTCATAAGATTTATGAGTTGATAAATTCTAGAGATATCTCTTTAAAAAAAGTTCACATATAGTAGAATGCCACATATGTTAACGAAGGTCGTCACAGTTGAGAAGTTTAAATATTATTTGAATTTGATTCATGTTGTAAGTACTTTATAGAAGGTGGAGAACTTATAGTATAGACGGACATTAACTCTAAGTGCATTGATGATATATGTCAAGGTAGAGTTTGCTGGCAGTACCAGTCCATCATGGTTGACCTATTCGAGAGAAGTGCGAGAGAGCCTCTCCCATCTAACTTGTTTGGGAGACGTATGATGAGTGAGAGATAGTTGTCACCTCATCTCTTTTAACCCACTCAAGGGTGCAAAAATGAAAGCAGAAAATGAGAGAAGTTAAAGCCATCACTTTTGAGATGTGTGGGCTCATCTACACATAGATCAAGATGCATCCTTTTAAGGGGTGTTATCTTTTTCTATTTTCTATAAATAGGATATGTATTTTTCTTTTTTTTAGTATGACAAGTGTCATATGATGAGATTTATCTCTCTCTCTTGATTCTCTCCTCTCTCTTCATCAACTCTCTTTTTATTTTTTGGTTGCTCTTCTTTCTTCTATTACATGTGAAGTCTTTATAGAAGTAGATAAGAGTTAACTGCTGACTCTCTAGTGTGTGAGTCCTTTAGAGAATATTAAGACGTGGATTAAAGGTATTTGATGAAAGTCTTGTTCTCATTAAAATTCTTGATAACTTGATGATTTCTCTTCTATTTATTCTCATTAAGATTTAAAAATTGAGTTTTTGTTGTTATTGTGATCATATGCTTACATATTTATTCGTACATGGTTTATGTAACTATATTAGTTCATTGTTGAATCCATTTGCCGCCCACATTGTATGTCTTGCAAGATCCATCATACTACTGTCTATGATTATTTCTAACTCTAATAACTCTTTACTCTATTACTAGGTTGGACTGACCTCTATGTGACTGCTTTTCACACGGGCCCACTTACTCTTCCCCCATTACACACCTTGTTCTCAAGCTAGAAGTTGGGGATCTAGCAGAGAATATCTTGGGCTAGTTCCCACAGCATTAGCGGCAGGTAGGTTTTCCTACACGATTAACACATGCGGTTTGTTGAGACAATGTTGAGCGTCTAGGAGAGCCCTTGGTTGTCTCGTACAACACATGTTGTCGTTCTCCTCTGATTGGTCGACTGTGAGCTGGAACAGTTCAAAATAAACGTCATCAGGATCTGGGCGGCTTACCAATGTCCGAAGTTTGAGGTTGGTTGTGGGTTCTGATGGATCCACGGTGAGAACAATGATCATGCCAGAAAAGACAATGTCCATGCATCCTGATGTAGCTCAAGCCTATGACATCCTTTCATCTAACGTATTCTCAAGATGACGTCAATGGACACTAGCAGAAAGAAGAAGAAATCATCTGAAATTGTGGCCTTTGGCAAGTGGATGACGAACCTGCAGCACATCTCGGAGTTGACCACCGTTTCTCCGATGCTTGTGGTCATGTAGTACTGGTCCATAGTGGTCAGAGGCAGGTTAAATTCGTCGACTCGCTGTTGACTGCTGAAATTTCAGGTTACCCCCGTGTCGAGCAGGAGGGAAACCTGGCGCCCTAGAATCCCCCCTTGGGAGCACATCACGCGGCCGTCAGCGTCGCTTGAGAGGGAATGCAGACTGACCTCTAATTGGGCCAGAATTTCATCCAACTCAGTGCCATCCGGATTGTTGTCGTCCCTTTGGTTAATCTCTAGCATATAATC